TTCGATGATAAGGCATCACAAATTAATCGAGGATATCTCCTATTAATTTATTATTAAAAACTTACAACTTCATTATAAATACAATTAATATCATCTTTTCAGCTATTATTACACCTGAACAAATGTATCTTATTTTTAGATCCATGATTGGCATGATTTGCATATTGTAATTTTGTTTACATCTTTGGCAGTACGGTTCGGGGTCATTGGTGATGATTGCAGCATAACATAATACTATAATGTCATCGTTATAATACAATAATATATGTATTTAATTTAAATACTAAAACCGTACAAATAACAACGTACCTGTACCATACCAAGTTTTGAATGCCTTGAACTAAACCACCAATGACCATCTCTCAGGCACGAGATAATTGTTTACCTGTAATATTATGTTTAGCCATGTTTTTGTGGAAACTTATGCATACTTATATCTGACCTTGTAAATATTGTTGTTTGTTAAGTTCTAACAACGAAAGGAAATCCCCAATGACACTCAGGGGTGATGTCATCATCTGACGTTACTTTAGTAGAAATTCATGTGTAAATATAAAACATTGTATCCATCCTGGAAGGTTATACCATACAGGACTATTGTTTGTGGATTATATTTATTTATTTTCAATTGTTACTGAGATTACAGTAGAAAGTAACAAAGTGGTAGTAGTAGCAGTAGCATAGCAGTAAATGTAAACGGTAGAGGTATTTTCAATAATCACTTTAAGCAAAAGACCAGAAAAAACTCTCTAGTAGGAATGAAAAAAAACTATAATAACTGTGTGAAAGTTTACAAAATCTAGTGCCATAGGATTCCAGTACATGCATTAGCAACATATCCTTAGTGTATTGTATCCATGTGTTATCCTAAATTCAACTATAAATATAATGATTCCTAATTAATGGATTACTTTGCTATTTTCACGTATTACGAATTGCAATACAGATTATTTATTTTACTGGGGGAACTTATTGTATTCGTTTTAATAACGAAAAATACAATACTGTATAATTAAATAATTATGATATAGATAAAAAAAAAATGTCGCTTATATTGTTGCATTGAAATATGTACACCCAATATTACTGTTTTAAATGTAGGTCTAATATGCAAACATATTGTATATGACTTACATAATCATAATATGAATAGTACGTGTTCAACAGTAGGAAGATCACGTGGGATATAAAAGTTTCAATCGTTGACAGTTTGAATATGACACTTTTATTTTGAATATTTCGAATGCGGGTAGACAAAAGCAAAGGGGGTGGGGTTGATCTATTCGTGATAAAATGTTATGTTCCAAGAGTCAAGGACAATATTCAATTATCGTATGTTTATCTGTTTAGTGCGTATAATTATTCAATACTTTAAAAATAACATTTCCTATGAGGAAATACAAATGGGTATAACAGCTAAGCCGCATTGCTCATTTGGTAGACCATGGCTTACAGACATTACATACACCCACACACACATTTAAAGGGGAAACAATATGTGTATACGACAGATGCATGTACCTTAAATGCTTAAATGTAGAGATGATATAGTGAATGAACATAGTGAAGTACTATACTTACTTACTCATATCCTTCTTATCCTTACATAGGACTGTCAATCAAATATGAAAACACATATAAGAAATACATTGAGCATTATGGTATTGATATGAACCATTAATTTGTATTAGGTCTACAACTATCATAGTTGTAGACCTAATACAAACGTTATTATTATTAGTATAATTTTTTAATTAATAGCGTCATTAGTCATTATTATCTATATTTTTATTATCATTATTATTGTTATTATTTATTTTTATTTATTTATATCACGTCAAACAGCAAATTCGCCACTTACTGGTGGTAAATCAAACAACAAACGGATACATTGTAAACGTGTATACAAATACAAAACTATATACTACTATTAATCATAGTAGGCCTACTAATGATAAGAATGATAATAATAAGACGACGAATGAGGAATCTAAGACTAAAATTACTAAACAGATCGCAATCGAAAATAGAACACAATTGTATAAACAAATTGCCTACGGGACTCAGGGGATTGAATGGAGGAATATAATATATGGTTAAAGTTGTGGCTGATGTATTATTATTATTGTGTAATTGCAGTATTTATGTTATCAAATTTCAAATCAAGTTTATTCAGAACCTCCAAACAATCAGAAGACAAAAACATACCGTACATACATTAAAAATATATTATATTTATGAAGAAGCGGTTTGGCGCAGCGGGAACGGTTTTGTTTCTCAACCTCCAGCTTATGGTTTCAATTTCCTCGCTGTGCATTTAGCTTGTGTCAGAGTACCTGGCGGGGTTGCCTGCTACAGTCTGTGCCAAGGCAGCAACATAAAACATGTGGACCCGATGACCAGGGAAAATCTATAGCGCTTCGTAACTGCTTTATACAAGCAACAAGTAACATTAAGTATTATTATATATTTTTTATTATTTTTATTATTTTTATTATTTCATAAATAGGCCTACATAGTGTCTAATTCCTGATAGTGACTAAAGTTTATAAAGAAACCACAAAAGCGTGGGCTTGCGCGTGTGCCTTAGGATGTGAGTCACACCAAACCTTGCTGCAATGACAGTCGCATTGCTTATTAATTTACCGATGTTGGCTTCCACACTTCGAATCAATAAATAATATACAAACGGCCATTGCTAATAGGGCGATATTGTAATGTATAAAACATTCCACTGATCTTGTACACACTAAATTTATTCCGATATCTTGCATTGTTAAATGTGCAATTCGACTAAAGTAGTATACAAGGTGAATGAGTTACAATATTTTTGTTTGACAGAAATCGGCAAATGCATACTTCATTCTGATATTTACAAATAATTTGCAGACATTTCTCTGGGGATGTTGGGTATTAGCAGACAGGAATAGGTGTTTACATATTTATCTTGTATGCTTGTTAATTACAATGAATTCACGTCAGATATACAGTAATTACTATTCTGATGCTTCGTTGGTCAATAAGTTAAATATTGTTTTAATGATGACCATAATGATTAATAATATTGTCAGCATTAGTAAAAGAATTTCAAATTAATTAATCATGAATTATAGATGTCTATTAATAGGCCTATTTGTTTTTCATATAGGCCTATCTATGTATCAAAGCATATCATTTATTATTTATTATATTTTTTTTTAGCAAGACTGTACTTATGACCTTGCAATTCTGGAGGCGACTATCTCTACCAGCAAGTCAAGGTTCATTCTTCTACTAATAATTATTTAAACTACTTCATAGTACTTAATGAACATTTATATGAATAGTGCGTAGAAATAAAAGTTAAAAGCATAATTGAAGGTAGAAAGCATCCACTTGACAATTATATAATAGCTCATGATTTAGATTAATTGCAATTGCAACTTGTTTTTACGCGTAAAACAACTCGTAGGCATTTAAATAGGCCTAACTGAATATACTACATAATTATTGTAACCATTCTACCATTTTTTTGTACTTTAATTTATGAACTGCCAAGGGAAAACATATTTCTATTGTTTTATTGGACAAACAAAATTATCTTGAATATTGATTCTCGACATAAATATGAATTTCACCTGTTGTGGTAGGTTTGTCCGATTGAATATTTAATCATGACATAGATTACATTTACTTGTACGCCATTTAATTGGCAGAGAATAAAATAGTGTTTATGGACTGTCACTGAATAATGTAGTCCCTATGCGACACACGCTTTAGACTGTTACACGCTACATAACGCAGCTGTCACAAACGCGTCACACTTGGTAGAGACTGATCTGTGGTATTACCTATGATTAGCCAATACCACGTCCGATATATGAAGGACAATCCCTGTTGGGGTTGTTTACTATCGATGCGACCGCTTAGTTCAATAGGTGTATTATTATGATAACCACACATAGATTAATGATGACATAGATTTTAAAGTACCATCGTGACCTTTATTAACAACAAAAGAGAGAAGGAGGAGCGATATTTTTTATCGGTACTTAACTCTTAGTTTTCCTTTTGTATTTTTCAGTATATCAGCTCAAACAGTTTCGTCTGTATGTAGTGTGGTGGAACGTTGTTTAGGAGAATTCACAGAAACAAGCAACAATGCATTGGAGTGGAGTTGCCATCATCGCACTATTGCTACCTTACGGGGTTCTAGCAATTGCTCTCCGGGAGCCACTTGTGGACACAGATGTCATTATTGATGGCACTGCTACCCTCCTGGCCACGGTGACAGACAACCCAAATAAATTTCCTATTTCGTGGAGACGCCAAGACACACAGGAAGTGCTGACACTGGGAGAGTTTGTTTTTTCGACCCAACTGTACATCCGAGATCGATACGACATCCAGGTGTCTGGTGAAACATACATCCTGGTGATTTCAAATGTCGAATTAAGAGATGAGGGCATCTTTGAGATTGGTTTCATACGTAATACTCAATTCGTGCTCCTTTCTTCTACTACAATGAGTGTATTAATCCCACCAAATCTTGGTTTTCCGGTGTGTAATGTTAGTCCTGGTGGAACAGAATATCTCGTAGGACAATCACTGACGTTGAGCTGTGAATCTAAAGGAGGGAAACCCGTGCCCGACATTGTTTGGTTCCGAAATAGTATTGAATTAAAAAGAACCAGCTTAAGTAACATTTTAAACCATGAAGTAACACTAGAAACGTCTGATGCTGGAGTAGTGTTTGAATGCCGTCTGGCTGGTCCTGCTGTCAAAGAAACATTAAGTTGCCAAACAAGACTTACGGTTGCAACCCCAACAGTAAGTCTGAGTCCGTCTGTTGTACAGGTTGATGAAGGAAGCGATGCTGTTTTCAACTGCGTTGGAGAAGGTGTTCTCTCCCCTGCGTACGTTTGGTCAATTCCAACAGATATACCAAGCTCTCGTTATGCAATTGAAAACTCTAATCGTCGGTTTACTCTCCTAAAGACTACGATAGCAGACAACAATGCGGTCATACGGTGTGAAATAACAAGTTCCGGAAAAATAGTGGCTGGGAGGAGCGCAACACTTGTGATTCGACCAGGACCAACTACAAAGCAACCGACAGTTGCTGCGACAACTATGGGAACAACGACAGCTTCCACGACAATAAGACCAACGACAATACCTGCCACTACAAAATTCCACACACCACATGTAACAACACAGCTGCAGCAAACATCTCCAGTTAAAATTACCACGGCAGATTCTGCATCTACAATATCGATAACCATGAACCAAATACTAGACAAGACAACAAAATACACCGTGATAAAAAGACAAACAACTTTAAGGAAGATAGAAACGGCACCTCCTAAAACTTCTGAAATTCCCGTCAGTTCGGAACTTCACACAACCTCGCAAAACGTTGTCACACGGTACATAACAGAACCACAGGATATATTTATTACAACACCACTAATTGACAGTACAGGAAAGATAGAACCAACAAGTTTTACAACAGAAAAAATGCAAAAAGCTGTTCCAAAACAAGAAAGTGACAGACGAAATAGTCAACATCTGGGAATAATTTTCGCTGCTGCAACTGCAATGATTCTTGTGCTGACTATCGTGGTATTTGCAGCTTTTTGTTTGGTTATTTGCAAACCGCGTGCAAAGAAAAACTCATTTAACGTGAGTAACAATGCCTCTTCCTTGGCAGGAAGTGCTACAACACCTCCTTACGATAGCGGCGTCTTTCGCCGTCAGTCTTCATACTACACCGATTGTGAGTTAAGAGATTCTGTCAGCCAACGTGAAAGTCAAGCCAGTGCGACTGAATCTGCGGCTGCAGTCACGAATATTACCTCTCCAGAAGACTTTTATACAATGCCGGCAAAACTTGGCAAGCCTTCGGTCAAGCTTTACCACAAAGCGTCAAGCTCCCACCCAGACTTCAGTACATTTCGCCTTGTTGACGACAGTTTGTACCATAACCTGAGTGCAAACTCGCTCGGCAAACGACCACGACCAGTGCCTGCACCTAAACCACCTAAGTCTTATGCTAAATATGAAAACGTGTACCGAAACAACACGGGCCAAGAAGTGTTAGAGGCTGAAGAGGTTACGCCCTTACAAAGTTATTCTGTGCCTCTCCAGAGCTCTGCTATTTATGAAAATGGAAGAGACCTTCAAAATTCTGCACTATTGGGTAATGACGCGCCTGCATCCACATCACCTGCTCCTAAAAAACCTAGTCCTGTGCCCTCGCCGCGTAACACGTCCGCCGAGTACACATATGAGGACGTGATGAAGATCGCAGACACGTTGTTACATGATTTGGAACAGATATCCTAGTGTAGACTTTCATAATTAATTTAGGGGTAATTGGTTTAATGTCGACGGATATGAATGATAAATAGACAGGTCATCCACAGTTATCACAATATATTCTGAGAATATAGGGGTTTTCTAAGACAGTCATTGATTATCCTTATTGAAGAAATTAACGTTTGCCTATATTACCATGCCTTAAATTATTTTGTATTACGACCTAACACATGAAAATAATATTTAGTTGATACTTATAATATTCTTCGGTAAACTGGAAATGTTATGAGTATGTTTCTGCTGCCAAGAAAAACAAAGTTTATTAAATGCATGTTAAATAATTGTTAATGTAACCGCTATTTTACTGGCAGCGGAAACGGTTTTAACCCATACCCAAAGAGGTTAAAATGTGATCTTAACATGCGTTCCGAAGGAAATGTGACTGACGTGATGCATTATTTAAAAATATATTTGTATTTAGTGTTCTCATTATTTTCGTATATAACTTTATGTTCATAAACATTAGTACGATATGTTAATTACAGAACAAAAGAAAAATGTCAGTAATTATTATATTTAAGTTGATTGAAAATTACTTATAACTAGTAAATGGTGTTAGTTTCGTGGTGGTACGGTAGGGTGTGTCGGAGAGTCTGTGTATTAAGAGTAATCGGTTATATTTGTTCACGAGCACTAGATAAGTCGGAAGGTGCGTTAGTGGACGGCGGCAGGCGTGTGTTGGTCTGTTGAAGGCAATGGATGTGCTGTTGGTCGCCAATGGATATGTGTTTTACTAGTTAGTATCTACAATGAATCAATATTAAATGTTGATATAGAGTGTCGTAGCAGGTAGAAAACAAAAAAAAACTTTGTGTGAAGGCTCAACTATTTAAATTATTTATTTTGTTTATTCAACATTTTATAATGTGCATAAAACAGAAACAAATGTAAATATGCAATATAGCAAAATGTAAAAATAAATAATACATCAAGCTGTTAGTTTTAAATGTTTTGATGTAACAAAAATTGCCCGTAATCCAAGAATTTATAGGCAATTCATTGTTCTTAAATTACATACGTCATCAATCAACACTGCTAATTGGTCATATGTAACTTATTCGGTCAAACAGAGAGAATTGTGTCAAGTGCTAAATGGTAATAATGCAAACTCGTGACCTATACTCGACTCTTATCTCACAAATAATTTCACGAAAACATGGATAAACATTTTTTACCATAAAATAACTCATTGAATATTTGCTTGCTTTCATTGCGTTGAAAACGACCGCAGGAACGGTTGGAATTATCGTCGTTGAATAAATTATGTAATCCTTTAAATCCACGGTGTATTCTTTTCATTTGTAAGTGCAAGTATATACAATTACATGTCGTCTAGTGGTATGACACTCGCCTGAATATCAAGAGATCACGGGTCTCATTCCCAAAATTTTATATATACGTGTAGTCCCAAGGAAAAGGGGATAAACATCAAGTAAGAAGGGTTCGGCGAATATATATA